ACAGTGCTCATCACATGGTCATAGCAGGCGCGATCTGTAGGCTGTTGCCGTGTCTGGCACTATAGTTCAGCGAATTGGGATGGGATGCGGGCTTCTTTTTGCATACCCATGGAATTGCTTATCGCTGCATGATGCCTATATGGTTTCTGAGTATGTCACCGATGTGGTGCTTCAAGAGATGGAAATTTTCATCCCGTCATCTGTAGTGCCTATCGTTGGCAGATACCAGCCTTGGTTTGGTGGCTTCTGCAACATTGCGTCTCGGCAAAAGTAGGAGTGTTACAACGCCCGGGCCAACGTATCGGCGTCTCTTGATGTAAACACTAGCGCATTCAAAAAGAAGTACAACTCTGCTGCCAGGTCCTACAAAAGAGTTATCGCTAGAGTAAAGTCGGAGCACTTTGAGGATATTGGCGAGAAACTAATTCGCCTTTCTTCGGAAACTCGTGAATTCTCTGGTCTCTTGCTAAGACTATCCACGGGGATTTCTGTAAGCCATCATTACCATCTCTGTGCAGGAAAGATGACTCGCTGGCCCACGCCGCAAAGGAGAAAATCAATCTTTTAAGTTCTCGTTTTGCGTCCAACTCGACTCTCGATGACAGGGGGAATCTACCACCTACCATCCCACGGTGTAAATGCTCCAAACAGGATGTTTGATTCACACAGTGCTCAGTTCGTAAAGCAATATTCTCCCTGGACGTCTATAAGTGGAGTGGGCCTGATGGAATTCCCCCAATCATGCTGGAGACTTGTGCTCCAGAGTTAGCACATGGACTTATTACACGCCTTTTCCGGTTGCCTTACTTTTAAGGCATCGTTACAAGATCGGAGTATTTGTCGTAGTCGACAGTGCATGCTCCGACTCCAAGCCTGTGAATGCTGGTATTCCACAAGGATGCGTGCTATATCCGACCCTGTTCCTTCTGTATATCAATTGTATGTTGCATACTGGTATATTCATTGTTATGTATTGTTATGTAGACAACAGCACTGGCGATGCCTTATACACTGGCTGTGCTATTATTTCTCGGTAATACGTCGTCGAGTACTGGAACAAACTTGTGTCTGAAATCGAGTCTTTCTAAATCTAGTTCAGTTTAATCCCCAAAAGACACAGTTTTGCGCGTTCACCGCTAAATATAATCACTTACTCGTATATTCTCAAATTTAGGGCACTCTCTTTGTTGCCTCAACCAGCATCGGAATCCTTGGCGTCGACATATCGAGAGACGTACAGTTCCGCAGTTACTTGGAAGTGGCAGGCTAAACTGGCAACAAAAAGCTTGGTGTGCTCAGTAGATCGAAACGGTATTTCATGCCGGCTTACCGCTTGCGCATGCTCATCTCTGGGTTGGGACGACCAAGTTATTTCCGATCGGCTTGATCCACTGGCCTTGCGAAGAGACATTGCATCTTTATGCATCTTCTACCGCATATACCACGAAGACTGCTCAGAGGAATCGTTCGGATTGATTCCAGCTCCTGAATTTCACTACCTTACACTGACACAGAACTCGAAATTCCATCCTCACTATCTTTATGGCTGGTGGTCCAATTAAAATTACTGTCGCCAGCGATTTTTCCGGACTGATTCGACTTAGGGACCTAAGAAAAGAGTCTACTCTGTTCTAAAAGTCCGGAAACGCACCAGTCGCGCGACGGTGATTACTTACCATCAGTTGAGCCGCGCTTACTTATTTTTTTCGCTTAAAATTTCCCTGTGCGCGCTTTTGTAACTTTGCTGCTCTAGGCACGTGCCTAGTTTTCCTTTAGGATAATCCACCACTGGTGTTTCGTATCTTGAGTATAGAGCACCGGAGACCCTTTTTATTGGAAACGAGACATTCTATTTTAGTCCTCAGAGGTTGCGACATTTGCATTTTTATTTATTTTTTAATCGAAGATAGGTGTAGATGCTAATGGGCCACAGTAGCCACTTACCATCAGGTGAAATGTATGCCCCTTTATCACCCTTAATCTATAAAAAAATATCTAATAAAGTATCTCGTAAAAGTTAAAAGTGGATTTAGAATCAAAAAATATGGTGCGATTTCGTGTATTATTTGTATCTATGCATTTGAACTATTAGTGAAAACGTAAACATATTTTTATACATACACTAGCGGCGTTTTTTCTGATAAATTAAAAACTGCAATTGTCAAACCTCTATTTAAAAAAGGTACCCGAGAAATTATTAAATACTGCCGTCCTATAGCCCTTTTGCCTATTATTTCAAAAATATTTGAGAGGCTAATATATAATGCGTTATATATGTATTTTGAAATAAATAATATTTTTACGAAAGAACAATACGGGTTCAGAAAAAATAAGACAACATGGCAATATATAATTTTCTCTTTAAAGTAATGACAAATGTAAACAATAAATGGCCCTGTGTTGCTCTTTTTATGGATTTAACATAAGCTTTTGACCATGTAAAACACGAAACTCTTTTATATAAACTGTACTCATATGGAGTGAGAGAAAACATTTTAAATCTAAGAACAGAAACAAATTACTGTAATAAAAAGCATAGACAAAAAATACAAATATGGGAAACCTACATTATTCCTAATCCAGAACTGTGAGTTGTGGTGTTCCCCAGGGAAGTGTTCTTGGTCCGTTCATTTTTCTTGTTTATATTAACGACTTTCCTCTAGTCACAAACTTCCCCATGACACTTTTTGCAGATGATTGTACTGTCCTTTTCATGACTACAAATTCGACTGCCTTAAATAATGAAATGAATGAGATATTTAATAAAATAAATGATTGGTTGAATCTTACTAATCTTAAAATAAATTTAAATAAGACTAAATGCATGACTTTTCAAGGAATGCGATCCGCTCAGATATTACATCACTCTGATACAAATATTGGTAAAACCAATAACACAAATTTCTTAGGTTTGAAAATTGAAAACATGTTAACATGGAAGTCCCATGTTGATAGAGTGTGTACGAAACTTAATAGGTTTTCTTATGCACTTCAACAATATTCTAAAACTACCAATATCCATGTATATGTCTACATGGATTACAGCATATAACGGTTACGTAGATTCTATACTAAGATATGGTATTTTATTTTGGGGCAACTCCGTTTATAAGGAAAATGTTTTTAAAGCACAAAAGAGGTGCATACGAGCTATATGCAATCTAAAGCAAACTGAATCATGTAAACCATCTTTTAAAAGTTGAAAGTATTAACTCTTACTTCATTATATATTTTAGAGGTCACCATGTTCGTAAAAAGGAACATTCATCTTTATGAACATCATGTTAGTGTGCGACACACAGATAAACTCTGCTCTTTTGCAAGTAGAACAGCGTTATTTAACAAAAGTGTGTTTTGCATGGCGCCAAAAATATATAACAAAATACCCATAAAAAAAAAATTAAATATATAAAAAATGTTAAATCTTAAAAAAAAAAACGCTTGTCAGTGTCCTAATAGACAAAGCCTATTATACACTAAATGATTTATTTAGTGATGATTTTTTTTGATACCCAATAGTTAAAATTAAAAAAAAATCACAGGTTCAACCATTAGATTATGGAGTGTAGAGTAGAAGGATGACCATCTCTGTATATGAAAAGTGTCCCTAAAAACACGTCCAATAAGGGTGGCACTGCAGTAGCATAGGATAAATTAACAAAAAAGCACCAACATTAATTAGAATAACATGGAGAAATAAACAAGGATCGACCAATCCGCTTGGTTTTTTACTACGTAATTAGTTGAGGATTTGTATACTGGCACTTTACTAACTAGTCTAGTCATGAAATTTTTTAAATATTTGAATTCAGCTGACTTCACTCCGTCTACAACAGCTATATTCATATCGTAGTTTTTCAGACGCCAGCGCTATTGTGGTAGGTTTTAGAACCTCTATTTTCAGTATATAGTGGGACACTTTTTCAACTTTCGTACCTTATAAGATGGTTCTCCTTCTACTCTACACTCCATACATTGGATGAATAACTTGCTTTACATAATTATGTTAACATAAATATAAAAATGATTACATTATATTTGATACTATTTGTTAATTAATTTTAAAATTTAAATAAATAAAAAAACAATGAAATGTGTCATCATTTTGTTTGAAATATTGCTAGGTCATTATTTAAAAATGTACATAATAAAATATAGTTCTTATTCAATATATTTAAGTCATAATTAAATTTGTAACATACTTAACTCTTCTTAAATTATTCTATGTCCACTAATGTTTTGTTGACGTTCCATTTTTTTGGTATTTTTTTTATTTACTTTAAATGATTTCCAAAAATATTGTACTTCGTATACCCACAGGGTAGGACATAGTTGAACTTGATTATATAATAATATATCTAACATCTATGTAATACCTATGATCCACGAAATAAATGATTATGATTGAGTTTTTTTGGCGGGAACTTGACCGGCGACGGATTGCTGCTCCTGTATTATTGTTTAAATAATGGTTTGAAGTGGTCTTTGATATGTAAAAGTGGTGCGATTTTGTGTATTAAGTGTCTGCGCATGTGAACTATTAGTGGAAACGGTGAAACAAGTGCTCTGATTGTGATGTGATTCTTAAGATAAGGTGTTTGTCTGCATAGGCGCCTTGAGATACCATCGCCAACTGTCAGCTGTCTGCTGGCTCAAGTTGCCGTCAAAATCTCTCAAGGGCTGCACAATGTGACGCATCAACATATTGTGAAGCAGTGTACTATGAATGATAATTATTATAAATTGTAACTTCAGGCTCAAAAGGGCTTGAACCCAGAGCTGTAAAGCCAGTTATTAAGAAGAAGAAATGATTATGATTATGATTATATTTTTTAGAATGTATTTCAGCGTACAATGTATTTTTTGGTTCAAGGCTTTAAAGCCAATGCCATAATAAATTTAAAAAATCAAAACGTCAAAGTGACATTGTCAATTGTCACTGTCATTTACACGTTTTAAGGTTTTATTCGGATTATTATTTTGTTTGTTATTTATCAGAGATGGCAAAAGTTAGTGAATCAGCGATTATAAATATTGGGAAAGTTTTAAATGATCCCACAAGGCCAATGAAAGAACGTTTTCGTGCACTTTTTACTCTTCGAAACTTGGGCGGTGAAAAGTCTATAGAATGTATCAGCGAATGTTTTAAAGACGAGTCCGTGTTGTTAAAACATGAATTAGCCTACTGTTTAGGTCAAATGCAAGACAACCGTGCTATTCCGATTCTAAGAAATGTCTTAGAAGATACAAATCAAGATCCCATAGTTCGCCATGAAGCCGGTATGTTGTGAGTGCTATCATTCTTATAGTGTCATGTGTTTTATATTATATGATAACATATAGTTATAACCACAATATTAAAGTACATATTGAAGAAAAACACACATAGTAAAATCCAAATCTCATTAACTAAAGTTAGCATTTGAAGACCACTGCTGTAATAAATAGCCTTTTGGCTATCACACATCTCTGAAAAACTAAAAAGATAATGAATAAAATACATAATGTATATGTAAAATTTTACTTTGTTGAAATTAACATTTAAAAAAAAGTAGGTAAAACTATAGATATCAGGTACTCACGTATGGGGTGAGAGGAGGGTTCAGGAGTAGCCCTAGGTACTATCCCAAAATCATAACCTTACTTTTTTACACATGAATATTGACTCAGTTACTGCTGCAATGGCTTCGGCACTGGGGGAAGTGCAGCCCCTTCACCCTTGCGTAGCAAATCATGGCATCAATGGTCACCTCCACAGCTTCAGGTTATTGATCACCTTCGGAGACTTACTCAGCCGCTACGGCTCACACAGGTGCCTGCGATTTGCTACAGCAGGCTTTATTGTAACCTCTGTTGAAACATTTTGTATTTAAACGTTAGTCCTGGTTTTAAGAAAACGGCAAAAATACTATTTTCTGAGTATACTCTTTACAAAGTAGTTCATGTAATAAAATCCTAGATTGTATACATAATATATCCAATAAACCACAGTAGCCTTTGAATATATATATAGAAAATAAATATCTTTTCTTTTTTAATAGTGTAAGAGATGAGTATGAGTGTGCCATGACAGTGACAGGCAAAATCTAATATTAAAAATCTGTGTCTATATGATGTATAATATTACTGTTAATTACAGTAAGTATTATTTAAAATGAAATGTTAGAAATATCTTTGTCTTTGTCTTAAAAATTGCTCTTACCTTGAGAATCCACATAAAACAAACCCATTGCATAAAGCCACTTTTATGGATTTTATTATGTAAAATATAAAACTACACAAGCACTACCTATTTTTATCTTTTGGCTGTTGTAAGAGCGAACAGGAAATAAAACAGGAGATTGACAATATCATCTTGATAATAAGTCAAAGGCAAAAAAAAAAATGTAACTCCATATAGATAAAGGTGTATTGCATACCTAAAGCAAAAAACGCGTAGGTATATGTTTAGGGTTTGGGTCCCGGGATGTCTCGTGTCTCGAAATCCCGGGACTTTTTGTAATTTTAGTTGTCTCGAGTCCCGGGACTTTTGGGTCGAGAGTCAAGACGAGACAAGATTGCCAAAATTGTTATGTAATCATTTTTCTTTTCAAATAATTGAAGGAGCCTAGCGCCATGTGTTAGTTTAATGAATAATTATTTGGTTTACTACGTAACTACTGAGTACGCAACACAATAAATTAAACAAATAGGTGATTATGAGAATTAACAATGACATTATGAACAATGATTAGATACTAGAATTACTAGATAATAGTAAAGTTATTAAGAATTAGTATGATTTTTAACTAAGTTCGTTTCATAACTATAAGATTTAACTGTTTAGAAGTACATCTGTGTGTGACTAAAATAAAATAAACAAAGCAATTTGTGTGGCAAAATGCAAATTAGTGGACCTGATGGTACCTATACCAGCTATAGTTCTAAAGGTCTGTGCACCTGAATTGTCTCCTGTGATGACACGCCTGTTCCGCCTCTCATTCAGGACTGGAATAATGCCTAAATCTTGTAAGCTGCCCAATGTGCAGCCTGGGCCTAAAAAAAGGTAGCCGTACCGACCCTGCCAACTATCAGCTAATTTCAATTACCTCCATACTCTGCAAGATTATGGAGCGTATATTGAACGCCCACCTCATGGCATACCTAAAGTAAAATGATCTCCTCAGTGATCGTCAGTACGGGTTTCGCCGAAATCGATCAACTGGGGATCTTCTAGCGTATGCCACTCACATATGGGGCAAAGCCCTCGAGAACAGTGGTGAAGCTCTTGCTGTTTCCCTCGATGTTTTGTAGGCCTTTGACAGGGTTTGGCACGCTAGTCTATTGGGTAAGCTTTCAGCGTACGGCTTATCCCCTGACCTGATTGTCTGGATGAAGAACTTTCTGAGTGAACTATCTCTCCGAGTCGTCGTTGATGGCTGCTCATCCGATACTGTGGCGACCAACGCCAGTGTTCCTCAGGGGTCCGTTCTCTCCGCAACTCTCTTTCTGCTGCATATAAATGATTTGCTCATTCCTGGTATCTATGGGTATGCAGACGACAGCACAGTTGTGGAGAGATACCAACCAAGCACCTGGGCCAGTCGGGATCAAATCCAGTCAGAAAGAGAGCCTATGATTGAGCGTCTTACATTACAGGCAGTTTCCGAATAGGGCGATGCCAATCTAGTGAAATTTAACGTCTCCAAAACACAAGCGTGTCTTTTTACCGCTAAAAGAAGCCCGCTCACATTGGCTCCTACTTTCCGGAATGTATCCTTGGAGTACACTGACTGCCTTCAGTTGTTAGGGATTGAATTTTCTTCGAACCTAAACTATGGCGGTTCATTGAGTCCAGAGCCAAAGCAGCCGCAAGGAAACTTGGTGTCCTTGCAAGGGTGCGGCGATACTTCACGCCGGGGCACCTTATATAAAGCGCAAGTCCGGTCGTGCATGGAGTACTGCTGTCACATATGGGCTGGCGCTGCAAAATGGCACCTGGCAGCATTGGACTCAGTGGAGCGACGTGCTAAGAGGCTCATTGGTGACCTTGATTTGGTTGAAACCAATATTGTCAGCCTCGAGCACCGGCGCAGAGTAGCCAGTCTCTCGGTATTCTATAGGATGCACTTCGGTGAGTGTGCGCAGGAATTACACGCTTTAATTCCTCCCTCTACTTTCCAGCATCGGACAACCAGGCGGTCCGCGGGTCTTCGTCCCTTTGTTGTCGATATTCCACACATTAGAACCAAACGGTTTGCTTCGTCTTTTGTAATGCGTACAGCAAAAGAGTGGAATAATTTGCCGGCGTCTATCTTTCCGTCCGAATACAATCTTGGCGTCTTCAAGGCAAGAGTGAATAGGCTTTTGTTACGATAAGACAGTGCGATTTACCATCTAAGGCTGCATCACCACTTACCACCAGGTGGGATTGTGGTCAAGCACTGGCTTATAATAAGTAAAAAAAATTATTAAGACTGAAATTAACGTTAAAGTTATTTAAATTTCTGTTTAATAGTTTAATAAATGTTGATTATTACAAAAAAATTGCCTCTTTTTAATACGTTTCGCCAGAAATTAACTCAATTAAAATTCTTCAAAAAAGGCTTACCAAATAACATTTAACATTTAGCTTATAAAAAAGTTTTTTATTAAAAGTCTCGGAAGTCCCGAGAATTACCGGGACTTCGATGAAAGGCTGATCCCTAAAAATCATTTTTAATCGTGTTCCTCCTCATGACCAAATAATAAAATCCCGTCAATCAAGAGCATCAATCACTACACTCTTTACTTTTTTTTATATTTTTTATGACTTTAGCACTATTCATAGGGGCTAAGTACTTATTTTATATTCATATCGATGCTTGAAAGGAAATAATTACTGAGCGACATGTTGGCCAATATTGAGTTATAATATACATCATTGAAATCAGCAAAATATTCTGCATCAATATGTCATACACTTGTACCGCTAGGAAGAGTTTTGTAGTCGCTTGGTAACTTAAAAAAAATCATATTTTAACAGTTTCCGGTGACCAAGCAACTAAAATTTTTCCGATTTATGAATAATTTTCACTTGGTAGGTATTTGATTTTAATTTTATAAACTTAGTAATTTTTGCCTTGACTCAAATTAATGCGGTTAAATATAAAGTATTTTTTTCTTTACAGTATCTAGGGTATAAGTTTAGTTTAGTTTACGATGGGCTATTTTCGGCAACTCCACGTCTAAGCGCGTATTTTGCGTGTGGGCAGGAATAATGTACTTATTCGAGCCACAAGATCTTCCCGAAGATCATTAAGTCAACAGTACTTTGATGTTGCGTTCAACTTCGGGGTGTGATCCCAGCGTTAGTTAGTTAGCTCCAGCATCGCCTCTAATTCTTTTATACAGCCTGTGGCAGCCATATATGCCAGTCTCTGGTAGCGCTGAAGCTTTTTTATAGTAGTGGCTTCATTTGTCTTGGTCCACCATACCAGAGTGCCGTATGTGATCATTGGCCGAATTACAGTTTTGTACAGCCACAGTATTATTTTTGGTGTCAAACCCCATCTTTTGCCAATCATGTTTCTGCATTGCCAGAAAGTTATACTAGCTTTGTTGATTATCTATGTTTTTATTCCAGCTAAGTTTGCTGTCCAAGGTAAGACCTAAATATTTTACCTCAGAGGATAGCTGGAGTTTTGTGCTGAAAAGACATGGTAGATTATAGTTATTCAGCATTCGTTTTTGTGTGAACATTACTAGAACCGTTTTATTTGGATTGACAGTTAAGACATATTCCCTGCACCATCTCTCCACTATACGGAGAGCCGCTTGGGTCAGGTCGCACACCATGCTTGCTGTCTTTCCAGAGACCAGCATTTTCAGGTCATCAGCATAACCTACTGTGTGGAAGTGATTAGCATTTAATTTGCTGATGAGTTCATTAATGACCATATTCCACAGGAGAGGTGAAAGAACCCTGGGGGCAGCCTTTCTTAATCTGGATTGTTTGAAATTCACCAGCTATCTTTATTGTTCGTGTACTGAGCATGTTTACTATCCAGTCAATCAGTGCCGATTCAACTTTATGTCTACTGAGTGCACCTTTTATGCTGGAGAATTTCATTCTGTCAAAAGCACCTTCTATATCTATGAATTCTTTGTTTTGGATGGCTTCTTCAATCTTTGTTATTACTTGGTTAAGTGCCGATTTAGTACCGACCCCCTTAATTCCCTTTCACACATTCTCTCCATCGTCTTTAGGAGAAAGGATGTGAGGCTAATGGGCCTGTAGGATTTAGGGCCTGTATAGTCGCTCTTACCTGGTTTGGGTATGAATGTGACTTTCACTTCCCTCTGTCCCCTAGGAACATAATTAAGAGCCAGACAGGCTCTCATTATGGCAACAAGTCTGACTATCAGGGCTTCACTCCCCTACTGTAGTAGTGCCGGGAATATACCGTCAGGTCCTGTCGCCTTATAGGGGAGGAAACTGTGAATGGCCCAATGGATTTTGTCCATCGCTACCACTCTCTGTGCTAAATTCCAGTCTTCTGCTGTTGGTGTCAGGTATGTCGTCATGCCGGTTTGCCTCCTGAGTTACGCAGTAACCTGGGAAGTGCGTTTCAATTAGGATGCGTTGGGCTTCATCCGGCGATGTTGAGTAGCTACCGTCGGGTTTCTTTAGAGAGATGGATCCCGACGTGTTCTGTTTAGCTAGAATATTCCTTATCCTATTAGCAGGTTTCATTGTTGCCACAGAATTTACGCCACCCTGTCGAGCGTCGATACTTGATACATTTTCTGCCGACTTCCAAAAAGTAGACGGTACTCAATTCGACGCGTATATTTTTTTTATGTGTGTTACATCATAACTTCTTACTGGGTGAACCGATTTCGATGATTCTTTTTTTATATGAAAGCTGATACTTCTCGTGTGGTCCCATATGAATTTGATCAAGGTCAGACCAATAGTTTTTGAGTTATTTCTATATTATTCTTAATAACTTTATTGAAGTCGGCTGTACAAAATTTTTAATCTTAAATTATTTGTATCCAAACTTAGCTTTCTTGTATAGTAGCCAGTCTTTATCCATTGAGGTATTCATGGCCCTATTTAGGACTTTTCTTACGTTCTTACGTTTTCTATCTAGTTTTTTACCCCACCACGGTAGCTTTACCTCAGCATGCCTTGGTGGAGTGGTTTTTCTGGACATGATCAATAGTGGACTCTTCCAGCGTCCTTTTGGTTGCTCTTTCCTTCTTCCCAGGACGCTCGGCCGGTCGCTGTTTCCTGGCGGATATCTTAGAGGTGGTCCCCGCGGCCGCGACATCCACTTGGGCTGGATTTTTATTCTTCTCAGTTTCAGCGCGGCTACTGGTTCCAGCCCCAAGCACCTCAATCGCAGTAGCTTGCCTATCCTCCTTGGTTTTGGTTTTAGAAGCAGCCAGCGCGGCTCTTTCTCTTCGGTCTTTTTCTCGCTGCTTGTTATTCTTCTTTTTGGCCTATACACTACTACCTGCAGGGATCGACCCTCCTGATGTTCCGTCAGGTCGGCAAGTCACGTTTTTGGGTGCCTTGCCTTTCCCCTTATGGCTCACCACTTGCCAGGCAGTAGAGAAAAGGTCATCCGTTCTCTGGGGCTCCGCAGGAGTTTTATTACTTGCGGGCTTTTGCTCCTTTTTCGCGTCCATTTATTTTTTGTTGTAAAAATTCGTCACTCCGGCTTCTCACCCCCCACGGAGCCCGCATTTTCGAGAACACATATAGGGAGGGAGTATAGGGACGCGAAGTTGACTCACAGCACGACATCGGTAGCTCAATCCAGCTGGTAGATAGGGCTGAAAAGGCCATTTCCCTATCTGTGGCTAGCAGATAGGGCCAGAGTTTAGCTTGAAATCCGGACCAAAGACGGTGAGTTGCCTCTCGCCACTATATACCCCAGTGATGATCGGCTCAACCCTCCAGGACTCCTTCGTCCCTACGTACGGCGCTCGACTGCGCAGGTCCTAGCGCAGGTGGGTGTGTTAATCCTCCGGATACATACGGATGTCCAGGGGAACCACCCCTCCTCCTTTCTCATCCGGGCCTTGGACCGGCAATGGCGGTTTTACACTAACCTTATTTAATTTGTACTATGATTAAGATTGCCTAGCAGAAAAGTTTTTTGATTTCTATTTCGATCATTATACCTATATGTCAAACATTTCTTCTTCTGTATGCGTCATTTTTCTTCAAACATAGTTGCACATTATAGTATAATGAGGTTTAGTTAATTTTACTTGTTTTATAATAAAATTTTAATGTCGTTAAGTAACTTTTACCTGTTTGCGATTTTGATGAAATTGTTACTAAGCAACACTATTTCATAAAACATTGAGAAAATTCTAAATCTTTAAATGCCAGTTATATTAAGCCTTTAATATGCATCTAAAATTCGTTGGAATCGAGTACTTATGACTAAAAGGCGATTTTTTACGAATTTTTTTCCAAAAAAAAAAAATATTATACTCTAGTGTAAAATTGCCAATATGTCGCTTGGTAATTATTGCCTTTCAAGCGTCGATATATAAAATATATTCCTTAGTATGTAAGCTACTAAGTTCTGCTTCTACTAGCACCACTGAAACTGTTATCTGATTTATTTATCAGTACTTGATATTGCAATTAAACATTGAATGGATATATTTTGCAACAGCATGGCGTATCATCATTTCCAACGCTATATCTTATAGCCTTACTCCTTAACATATTTTTTTTTATAGGATAAGAGTGACAAACGAGCACACAGTTCACCTGATGATAAGTGGTTGCTGCGGCCCATAGACATCTACATCTATCCTCGATTACAAATCAAAATGTAGATGAGTTGTCACCCGTGAGGACTAAGATAGAATGCCTCATTTCCAGTAAAAAGGGTCTTTGGTTCTCTACACTCACCATACGAAACACAGCAGTGTTAAGGTGCCATTTTACGCTGGTATTCTGTAAGAGCTTGGTACTTCCTCGGTCGAGCCGACCCATTCGTGCTACAACTATACTACTAATATAGCAACAACATGGCTCTACCACGTGAATAATCATTACATCAGACACTCATAGGCTAGGATAAACGATAGTCTGTGTTTTTACGTACACTTGTTGCACTACATATAATGATTCCGTATGCAGTAAACAACTTCTGAAAGTATTCGGATTTTTTTCTATTGTGGAAATAAGGCCTGGAGAATATTATGATGTTTTTCAGGTGAATTCAAACCAGAAATTGTCATCTGGAAAGTAAATATCGAAGTGTTGCAAATATTTATGAAATCTTTTGTTATTTGTAACTGACTTTTGAATAAACATTTCATGTTTTGATTTACTTATTACATTTGCTATATACAGTTTGCATTTTGTTTTTTTTTATATTGAGGTGAATACAATAACATTTTTAAATGAACTTCAGTACCTATTTGATATAGTTAAACATGAAAAGAAAATGTATTTAACTAGAGATCTAATAAAAATATATCTTTACGTTTCAGGGGAAGCACTTGGTGCTATTGGTGATCCAAATCTCCGTGATCTTCTTGAAAAATACCAGAATGATACCGCAATTGAGGTTGCTGAAACATGTCAAATTGCTCTACAAAGACTTAACTGGATTGCTTATGAAAGGGCTGAAGACACTAATTTGACAAAGAGTCCATACACCTCAATAGATCCAGCACCTCCTAGTAGTGAAACAGATGTGCAAATGTTGAAAAAGACACTCTTGGATGAAAATAAGACTTTATTCGAGAGATACCGAGCAATGTTCAGCTTAAGAAATCTTAGTACAAGTGACAGTATCATTGCTTTGGGCGAAGGTAAGAGATTCCTTTTTAATTATAAAAAAAAATGTTCTTTGTCATGGCATTTTTGTATGTATGTTCTGACAGTGCATTGGGTTATGCTTAAGTTTTTCTGCGTGATAGACTTAGAATTGAGGATATTCGCAGTAGAACCAGAGTAACTAACATAGCCCAACGGATTAGTATGCTGAAGTGGCAGTGGTCGGGCTGTATAGTTCAAAAAACTGACAACCTCATACTGACTTATTAAGCATAATATTTGTTTAACATCGTAGATGGTGTAAATCCTGGGATCCGGCAAAACCTATACAAGCTCATTCATTTTAAGTGATAAAAGTAGAATAAGTAAATATAATAAAAGCTGTTATTGTTTTATTACTGTACGGCACTGAAAATTTCGGGAATCAAGGAAGTGACACAACATTACTATTTAAAAATGTATTTATTGCTTTTCGAAGTATTCTCCGCGAAATTTTACACATTTTTCCATACGATGGAACCAATAATTGAAGCAACCATTCCATTTGGAAGTTGGGGTCTCCAAAATGGCCGTTTTGTAGGCGTCCACAGCTTCTTCAGGTGATGAAAATCTCTGTCCACGTAATTTATTCTTTATTTTCTAATAATTCTATGTTTTCTTGCTCTACAAACTCTTTTGTTCTGTGTGCGGTGTGAGAACTCGCATTGTCGTGATGGAGGATGATGCGGCGGTTGCAGTTCTCTTTACGGAGTTCAGAAACGACCTGTGGCAAACAAATGCTAGCATACCATTCTGCATTAACCGTTCTTTGTCCCTCAAGACGCATAGTCGTAACATGACCGGTTTTGGAGACAAACGTGGCCACCATTTCTTTTGCAACACTCCGTGAACGAACAATTTTTGTTGGCTTTAACTCATTTTCGAACACCCAAACTCGTGACTGGTTTTTTGCTTCGGGTTCGTACGCGTATATCCAGGATTCGTCACCTGATACGATGTTCTATACAGCATTTGAGGATCCTGCGTGGAATCTTTCGAGAGTTCTGACGCACCAAGTAACGCGAGCCGCTTTTTGCTCTTCACAGAGCGAATGCGGTATCCATCGGGAAAACAACTTTTTTACACCTAATTGTTCATGCAAGATTATTTGTATTTGACTCAATCATGCCAATGTCTAAAGTTGCCTGAATTTCGCGGTATGTCACATGTCGATCTTCCTCAATCAGCTTACGCACAGTATCAACGTTTTCTTGGGTGACTGCAGATTTTGGACGACCTTGACGGGGATCATCACTGAGCTTGACACGTCCACGTTACATACACGATAAATTGTGGTTTTGGATGGGGCTTAATCACCAAATGCAGAAATCATCCGGTCAACACACTGTTTTTGTGTTAAACCACTTCGAAAGTCATAATAAATCATCGCTCTTGAATTTTCTCGAGTCAATTCCATTTTCTCAACGACTAAACAAGTTTGACAAAACCTTGTGACAAGACCGAGAATCTTTTTTTAAATAAATAAATGGTATTCGATTTTTAAAACCAAGGACTTTTCAATTAAAAAGATTTTAATATGACAGGAATAGTGGAAATATTCCATTCCCGATACTTTCAGTGCAGCCTATGTATGTGTGTATGTTTATATAACACGCTACCAAATAATCTTAAAATGTTAAATAATAGGATATTTAAATCAAAATTACAGGAATACCCAATTAAGAATAATTTCTATTGCATTATGGACTTTATTAATCGTAAGTTTTAATGTACAAAAACAAAAAACCTTTGCATGCTATGTATAATAGTAGCAAAACATGCTGTAAGATGTAAATTATTTATAACATTTGTAAAATCTTTTTTATGCCATGTTTTAAGCAAATAAATATGTTATTATTAGTAATACCGGTGAGCAAAGTGTAGGTGGCCTCCCACTAGATAGAGTGACGACCTGGTAAGATATGCATCAAGTCGATGAATGCAAGTGGCTGTGGACCGTGCTTTGTTGCATAGGATGGGGGAACCTTATGTTCAGCAGTGGACATGTGTTGGTCATCACAGCTCTATTGTTAGTTGGCATGATACACTGTATACAATTCACTACATATAATTGAATTGTATGCAGTAGGCTTATATTAATTAACTATAGTTGGCAGGATACACCTATGCTGCCAACTATAATTAACTCCTATAAATACTGTTGCGTGTCGCAATTACTACCATTAGCGCCTTCTAGTATCGAGTTGCAGAACTCGAGAACCTTCTAGATATTTCCATGGAAGAAGTTTCTGGAACTATCGACACCTAGTCAATTGGGACCGATATGTACTCGAACATTCTAGATGTTTCTACAGTAGAGGGTTCTGGAAACTATCTGCGGCCCTATTTAAGGCCGGTATAAACCGCGACCGGGGCAGTATTGAATTGGCGATATAAGCGAATACTTCGAAGCGATACAACTGCGAACTAAAGTGATAGTAGTACAATTGTGTTTTCTTATTAGTGTGATTTAAGTTGTAATTAGGGCTCTGTAATTAAACTGTCAATTTTGGTAATTCACTCGGCAGTTTTTAATTGTCTCGAACCGCAAGCTCGTAACAACCTTAGGCTAACTAGTATTTTTTTTTAAATGTATTAATGCTTAATGCAACATTACTCTATATAGAAATAAAGAATATTGACATTGAACTTCATTTCTCAACATACTGCCTATGACCATAATTTCTGTTACACATTAAAGTTTATATCTTTTTAAAGAAACAGTGTTACAATAATAAACATTTTATTTTTTTTCTTATCTAATAGGACTTTGTCGAAACTTGGTTTTGACAGCATTCAAAGACCGCCTGGTCCTAACAGCATGGGGTTCCCTAATCTTGGTCTATTTTTGAACAGTTCCAGTTTGATGCAAGATATCATTACCGAACTTAAGACTAATAGGATTAGTAAACACAATCTCTTTTTGTCCCATGATTTTAGGCGAATATTGGCTAATAATGGTTTAATTGGGAAATACCAAATCTCACGGTCTCTAATGTGGTCACCATCTCGTGTATCACCATCTCGTGTAAACCATATGTAAGATGCGGGAGCAGCTGTGAAAGTGTGAGACATCTGGCATTGCAATTGATAATCCTCATGACAAGTATCTCGATTTATGGAAACTTCTGCTTACAATAAGAGAAGCACTTGTCCAGTAGTAGACTGATAAGGACTTTGAACAATAAGAAAGAAAATGGTAATTTCCATATTAACAATTCAATTAACCCTTTCGCTGTCCCGTTCATTACATATAGGTCATTGTTATTGTATTTCTATTGTGTCTGAAAACCGGACAGTGAAAGTGTTAATTTATACCAATATTTTATTCAATTTCAGGTCTTAAAGCAAGTAGTGCACTGTTTCGCCATGAAGTCGCATTTGTCTTTGGTCAGATGCAGGACGAACGCTGCATACCTTATCTTAAAAAGACTTTAGAAGATGCCAGTGAGCATGAGATGGTGAGACATGAAGCTGCTGAAGCGCTTGGCTCTATAGCCACTGATGAATGCACAAAAGTTTTAGAAAGGTATGTACTTTACTAGGTGGCTCAATTCCGAAGATTCTTTGCCTAGGAATCCATTTGGTTCGGTACCATATTCTTACTTATTTTTACCCGCCTAATAGCAGTGACTGCACTAAAAGGTTAAAGGTTAAAGACGACCAATATATTTACATAGAGTGTGGCATCCCACCTCAGTCCTAAGAGATGACAACGCATCTGAAGCTCTTTTTTGCTCGTAGTTGGCTGTAGGTGTCCATCGTCTGCGACAGACAATTACCAACAGGTGTACTGTTGAGTTCCAGACAGTTCCAGAAATATCTCTCTGAGAAAGGAGACCACACCTGTGCCCAGCTATGGGACACATATATACTGAAACTTTAGCTTAACTTTAAGCCATATAAAATGAGAAGTTTATTTGTTAAAGTTCATATTAAAATTAAAAAGTGGGTAATATGGTAGGGCTCCATTTCTGACGTAGTCCGGTTGGTTATGTGCCACGCTCTCACCTTTTTCTGGCGTCAAATAGCAATGCTCGCACTGCTGTTCCAGACCGACTTCTCATACTGGAGGCTATGAGGCATTCTATCTTAGGTCTCAGAGGTGACAACTAGAGCATGCAATACTGTTATATCGTTACCGCAATTTCGCGAATTTCGCGCTGTATTTCAGTACCGCAAAAGCGAGATTACAGTGTGAATTTCGCAGTATTAAAATCAAACCCAGTATGAAATCGGAGTAACAATGGGTAAATATCTAGACTGTGTATAACTATCTGCTAAACATTGCACCAACAAGCGTAGAAGCTGAGAGAGCATTTTCGGATACTGGATACATATGTAATAAAATTAGAAGTTCTTTAAATGATGAGACTGGGTATGCTTTGCTTTTTACATAAACATTTCCAAGGTAAAAATTAAGATTAGAGTTGTATGTGTGATTAATTGTAGTTAATTCATGTTAGTGTTTTAATTTGACCCCGTTAAAGATTTTTTTACTCATGTTATTGTTTTAGTTAAACCGCCATTGAAGGATTTTTTAATTTCGCAATATCGCAGATTTTGCGATATTACAAGTTCCGATACCGCAATATTGCGATATTGAAAATATATTGCGGCATTGCATGCTCTAGTGACAACGCATCTGTAGCCTTCTTTGTTTGAAGTTGGTGCATGTGTCCATGGGCTGCAATGTGCCATCTAGTGCACTATAAGACGTTTGTCAAAAAAATTAAATTGGAGAAATATGATATTTCTGTGGTCACAAGAACAAAAACGTATGTTATATATGTATATTTGTTTTCCAGGTATCTAAACGACCCGCGTCGTGTCGTCCGGGAGAGTTGCGAAGTTGCTCTAGACATGTCTGAATATGAGAACAGTCCGGAATTTCAATATGCCAACACATTGCTTACAGTTAAAGCTTAATCTTTTTATCTTTTGTATTATAAAAAATTACCCCCTAATGCTAGGAAATTCGTTGTTTCATAGAGCCGGTTATACATTACTACTTGATAAACATACACATTATATATACCATAAATTACACATGGACTTCGCCCAGGCTTGGAACATTTTCGTGTGCGGGAATCAAATGAGCTGTCCGCAGCATACCACCATCCAATCGCTTAATCAAATTACATAATAACAAAATATTAAAGTTAGTATATTATTTATTGCAGTTATAAAAATCATGTTGGATATCTTACTTTAATCGGTTTTTGACATGGTTTACTTGAATCCTCTATGCATCAGTTATATGTACTACGAACTAGAGAAGCCATTCCAAACAAAAATTGTGTCCTACTCTATGTATTCGCGCATGCGCGGGAGTAGTAGTCGCGCATGCGCGAAGACTAATTTGATATAAAATAAGATATTAATATAAAATTAATATAAGGTTTTAATATAAAATATCTTAATTTAATCTAAACAAACATATTTCTAAATAAAATGTTATAATAATTATTTTATGGAATTCACAAATCTTCAATTTACGCAATATTTAGTTTGTATGGATTGCACTACAGTTCAGTTGAACATAGTCAATGTTCGGAATGGCTTCTCTAGTACGTAGTACATATAACTCAATGCCTCTATGTCGTTCATTATTTTGAAATTCGAATGCGATGCGAGTGCTTAAAACATAAATAAAACGCGGATCTATTTGATTTTAGAAGCTTTTTTTTTTAAATCTTACGTTTCCACTAATGTACTCTATTAAAGACTAATGATATAAAATGTAAACTGGCCATTAGTGACAGGCAAACTAGTAAGTAGATTGATTTTACTTAAATAAACTGAAAATTAAAGAAGAAATTCAATGTGAATTTATTTATACATTGTATTTTTTAAAACAAGTGGGATTAAAGTATTTTCTAAATAAATTTTTTTATAACTGTTCAATCTATTTTTATTTTATTACATTTACAAAATGTTAATTGAAATGAAGGTGTTGTAGCCCGTAGACATTTGGACTTAGGTTTTTATTTTAGTACAATAATTTGCAGTCATCTTTTGGCAAACGGATTTACGATCAATTCATCGCTTGGCAAGCTCTATACTTGTCGCATCCTTGATACTACTACCCGTCACCGGTATTTTATTTAGGGGTTTAAGATGGCATACGGTAACAACCGGCTTGCTAGACGTTGTTCTGTCCATTTTCGGTAGTTAATACCTAGTTTTTTTTTATGTACGAGCAGCTGTGCAGGTCTAGAGAGACCAGTATCACTGCCACCTAAAATATCTATTGTGGTCGCTGCTGTCTACAGTTCACTGCTAAGCCCTACGTCCTCAATGAATAGAAGGAGTTGCTTAACTGTGAGTAATTTCACTTCTTCTGGGCGAAGTATATAGTTTCCCAGAAGAGTGCTGCGTTTGCGCATTAAGGGCCCGCAATTTGTCAGGATGTGTAAAGGCGTTTCCTCCTCTAGGGAGCAAAACCGGCACATCCTTGAGTTGCTTATTCCCAGACTGGACATGTGCTTTTTAAGACCACAGTGCCCAGTCAGGGCTCTTACCAGAATGCGCAGAAAGCGCAATTTATTTTTACCTAATCCCCCAGGGCTTCCAAAGCGAGTTTACGATCGAAGGGCCCGGATTAAGGTTTTAGAATGTTCTAAACCTGGTGTATCAGACCAGATCTTAAGTGGTTTGTGGTAAAGAGTTTCCAGGGTCAATCGGGCGAGGCTTTTTGAGATTCCACAAAATGGCTTGGCTCCAATTTGAGTACTGTTTGAGCCTTCCCGTGCGAGCTTGTCGGCAGTTTCATTGCCTACAATACCCGCATGACCCGGAACCCATCTTAAAACTACCTTGTTATTACCTCCCAAGGCGTTCACGCAGTCTCCAACTAACTTCGAGTTCACCAAGTTTGATCTCAGCGATAGCAGTGCTGCTTGACTGTCAGAGTTAATATAGATTATATGGTTAACGAAGTATTTTTGCAGATTGATTTCCGCACACTGAAGTATGGCGTAAATGTCTGCCTGGAAGATACAGGTGAATCTACCCAAATTCATACTAAGTTTGAATTTGGGTCTCTCTATAAATTCCAAAGCTTACGTTGAGGCCCATTTTTGACCCATCGGTATACTATATAAGGCTACCGACCTCACAGATGACCTGTCCATTAAGCCAGTCTTCTCTGGAGGGTAGTTCCACTGTATACTTTTTGTTAAAAGAATATAGTGGACGCATGATATCTGAGATCATGCACAAGACCGGTGTTTCCTTGATTGATTCAAGTATGGATCTCAATCTATAGAAAAGCAAGCTCAAACCGCCATGAGCGTTAATCCTATACAAGCTAGCCTTCGCCTCTTGTCTAAGTAGAGGTCAAGGGGCGTTAGTCCTAGCATTACATTAAGAGCCGCTCCAGGCGAAGATCGCATCGCTCCAGGCGATGATCGCATCGCTCCAGTTGCCATTAAGCAGGCAGTCCTTTGTAGACTATTTAGTCTGTCCGCAGTCGTCTTCTGGTTGGCCTTATTACACAAGACAGTGGAGGCGTAGGTAAGAGTTGGCCTCACTATACTGCTGTACAGCCATAGGGTCATACTGGGACGCAAGCCCCAGTCGTTCCCGACCATACGACTGTACGTACCTAAAGCAATTTTTGCCTTATGACATACATTGCTAAGGTGGGAGTTCCACGTTAGTTTTTGGTCAGTTGTTACGCCCAAGTACTTAACTTCAGTGGAGAATGGTACTTCTTTACCATTAAGTTTTGGTGCGACTCAATTGTCCAACCGTCTCTTTTTGGTATAGGGTATTAACAGTTATATAAGCATTAATCGATAAACTGTTAGCCCTGCACTAGTTGTTTATGGTGTTTAGGGCTCTTTGTATGATTGATGATAAAGTACTTTGGCAAAAACCCCTCACAATGATCACAAGGTCATTAGCATAACCCAGTGTGTCAATGCGAAGGTCTGCCATCTTGTACAGTAATTGTTCAACCGCAAGAGTCCAAAGGAGCGGTGACAAACACCACCTTGTGGACAGCCTCTTGTAGTTGCAATCTCAATCGAGGTTTGAAACAGCTCTATTTTTGCCTTTCTGTTTGAGAGCATCGACTTCATCCGCCTGATGGTTGTGGGGCAACATTTTTAGATGTCAGGCCCCCAACCAGCAGTGATGTAGGGCTACTGTCGAAGGCGCCCTCAATGTCTAGAAAGGCACAAAGAGTTCGAGTATGTGACCCTGCGAAATGAGTTGACGCAAGTAGCTCCAGTGTTTCCGTTTCACTATAGGTGAAGTTACCATCAGGCTTTTTAAGAACCCCGATTTGATTAGCTTTAGCTTTCGATCGCATTTTGTGTAGTCTTGCACTGCGAGGCAAAGACTCAACTTCCTCGCACAGCTTCCTCCACGATGCTCTCTTAGCTTTCCTAATTTCTTTATTATACTCGGTTGGGGCTACACTATAAATTTTTTTTTCTTTTTTTTCTCTTTAAAAACGTTACCCCCACACTAGGATTTTCTCCTGTATCGTGGAGGCAGTTTATAAACATAAATTGCACAAGGACAAACATCCAGACCCGGAACAATTATTTGTAGGCCTTACAAATACTTGTTCCGTGCGGGATTCGAACCCGCGGCCCCCAGCGCAGCAACTCATTGCTAAGTCACTGCGCCACGGAGCCGTCAGAAATATAATATGTCCCATTCTTTGTTTTTTTAGCCCTATTGAATAATTTCCTGGCCTTTTCCCTAAGCTGCGTTAGCTTAGTGTTCCACCAAGGAACTTTTCGCTTTGAGGTCTTGGTTTTGATGGGACAACTGTCTTCGAAGGCTTCGCGGATACCTACGGTTACCGTTTCCGGTTATCTCTATAGACATCCAGGAAGTCGCTTTTGGATCCTTAAAAGCAACAATTTCGTAAGTTAGTGATGCTCTAATCACAAACTTAATGTGTCTGTGATCAGACATCGAGTTTTTACTACTAACATGCCAGTTAGTAATCCGCCTGGGTATGTTATTAGTAGCAAAAGATATATCTAACACTTCTTGTCTAGCAGGCGTTACAAAGGTTGGTGTACACCCTAAGTTTAAGCTTACCAGGCGATTGGATATGAGAAAGTCAAAAAGTAACTCACTTCTTTCGTTGATGTTTGTGCTTCCCCACGCTGTGTGGTGAGCATTAGCATCACATCCCACCACAAGTTCGGCGTTGTGCTTACGGGCGTACTCCGCCGCTCGCTCTAACTCGATGGCAGGGTTCAGGGTTCTCTTCGGGAAAATAGGCTGAGCAAATGATTACTCTAGCCCCTGTGCATCCTTTAAGATTTATAAAGGCTGTAACCAGGTCGTCATTGCAATACTCTGGAACAGCTAAAAGTTCAACATTTTTATTGTAGATTTTACAAGCTCTGGGTCTACTGCCTTTCCTGTATTGACTATTATAATATTGACCTGTATTGACTAAGATCTTACCGGCAGCCGACAATCCCAGAACTTGACCGTTGGCCACCCAAGGCTCTTGTATGAGGGCGAGGTCGATGTTGTCCTCCGCGAAGCAAAGTTCCACCACGGAAGAAGCAGCTGCTGTATGGTGAAGATTTGCCTGGAGGACGTCCTTTACCGGCTCTCTTGACCCCCGCCGTACCTTTTGGTATACCTCTCCCACCTCCCTTCTCCTTACCCCTGACTGACACCAGCGGAGGCCCTCGAACTGAGGCGAGATTCGCGCCTTGGGTCACAGTCACTCTCGCTAATGTCGTTCCAGCTCACCCACCGAGGTGGAGGGCCAGGATTGGAGTTGGGGCGGTTCAGGCTCCTTTGCCGCGTCAGAGCCTCCCCTGACCTTTAAAGTTATCATTTTAAAGCCAAGGACGACTCTGTCGCCCGCCGCCCGGAGAGCCTCCGCCGATGGATCGTCCAGAGAAAAGGTTACTAGGAATCCATTCTCCTCGTCCCTACGG